ACCAACATGAGTTGCTGGGCGAGTTGGATAGACATCTTCACTTAAACAGCGCGAATAAGTTACGTAAGGAAGAGACAACAGGAAGGAAAGAGCGCTGATATGAAGAAACAGGGTCTAGAGGAGAGAAACACGGTACAGAGCCCATTGTAGAAGAAAGGTATTGTACCAAAATGAGTTGCTGGGCGAGTTGGAGAGACATCTTCACTTAAACAGCGCGAATAAGTTACGTAAGGAAGAGACAACAGGAAGGAAAGAGCGCTGATATGAAGAAACAGGGTCTAGAGGAGAGAAACATTTTGGTACAATACCTTTCTTCTACAATGGGCTCTGTACCGTGTTTCTCTCCTCTAGACCCTGTTTCTTCATATCAGCGCTCTTTCCTTCCTGTTGTCTCTTCCTTACGTAACTTATTCGCGCTGTTTAAGTGAAGATGTCTATCCAACTCGCCCAGCAACTCATTTTGGAAAAGAATTTACCGTGAAATAGTGCGACAGTTTCCTGGTAAATTTTCCCGCTAAATGTAGCAGAAATATTTTCCCGCTAAGTTTATTGGAAAAATTTCCAGCTAAATTTGTCGGGAAAATATCTGCCTTAAAGACAGCGGAAACAAACTCCGCTAAATTCTGCGGGAAAATTTCCTACTAACTTTAGCGCGGAAATTCCCCCTCTAAGTTTAGCAAAACAATGTTCCTGCATATTGGAAAAAAAAAATTGTTAATATAGCTGAAAAGTTTCCCGAAAAATTTGGCGCGCAAATTCCCCCGCAAAATAAAGGGAAAATCTTTTCCGCCAAATAAAAAAAAATCGGTAAACATAGCGGGAAAACTTTCAGCTAAATTTAGTTTAAAAAATTCCTCGCTTAATTTAGCGGCAAGATTTTTTATATAAACCACGTGTTTTATAAACCACGTGTTATATAAACCACGTGACCAACAAGTCACGCATACCAAGGTATGCGTGACTTGTTTGGTTATTGAGAAAGCATTATTTTCCGCAATAATTCAACAAAACAAAAGAAGAACAACTACGGTTTATATAAATGACCCGAGGAAACTGCTCCTTTTTGGCAAATGGTAATTTATAATCTTCGGGCGCACGATGCCACCGTTGCCTTGGTTCTGAGGCCGTTTAAAAACAAATTATTAAAGGCCTGTCAGTCGAAATAAACGTGAAAAGGCAAAAAAATAAATGCAATGCCGTAAAATTAAGGTTATTGAACTCGAGCACGGCTCGCGACTTGTTCAACAACGATGCTTTTTATGCTGGTTCTAAAGTGCGCAAGGTTGTCTTATAATCACAAAACAAACGGCAAGCTTGTGCAAGACAAAAAGTATTTATAATTACCAATGTAAGAGAAACTTTACATGTACAATTTTATATGTATGTGCCTGTCTCACTCAATAACTCCGTTTGACGGTCTGTTTGCCTGCCTGTGCGCGCACGCATACATGTTTTTGTTTGTTTTCTTAGGATTCGGATATGCATGCTTAAGTGCCTTATAAGTGGAGAAACAAGTGAAAGATAGATACAAAGCTGGCCTCTCCGATTAGCGCAGAAGAGAAGTGCATTTTTCTCCTGTTCAACATAATAGACATTTTTATTTGCTTAATAACTTTGGTTTTATTAAAAACAAAGTACATTTACATGGGCAACATTAAATTAGAAACAATAGGAAAAACGATATTCTTTGTTCGTTTTGCGGGGAATGATTTGAGTGAGAAGACCGTTTTTGCAAAAAAGTATTATCATATTGAAATTGGCGTGGCTTAAATCACAATTTAAGCCATCTTAGTGTTTACTCTCCACCCTGAACTCAGTCAACTGAATTTAGATTATTTTCAGGATATCAAGGCCTCCTCGATTTCTCGAAAAAGTGCGCTGGTTGCATCTGCTAGAGGCCGGAAATTTTCTCATCGGAAGCCAGCCTGCAGTGTGATAGATGGACGTTACATTTATTGCCTAGGATATATGATAAGCGGAGAACAGCTCGATTACTTTTTAGGTCTTCCCCAGACCTCATGCAACGTCATCCTGAACTAGTCGGATCTAAGGACCAAAGTTCGATCTGTGCGCGCGTCTGTCGCCTCATCTTCGCACGCGAAAATGGGCCTCAGGCTACGGAACGCGTTTCCCGATCGACCACCTGTTCGTCTGCCAGCCGCGCTAAATGCGATTTTCAAAGCGCGTCCCATAGTTCTCTCACGGAGGGAATACCGCTGACTTTGAAACGCACAAACTCAAAGTCCTGAAGTGTTAGCAAAAAAGAAGTGTCCGCCTGCAGATTTTTTTTTTCTCTCTTATTTTTAACGGGTGCTTGGAGAAGTGCTGGATGCGTTGGAACGAACGCGAATAATGCCAAAAATGGCGAAGTCTTGGGAAAGTAATATTTTCTTATGTCGAATATCCTCTCTACCTTCGAGAGAACAATTCACTAGGAAACAAAAAGCTTAGGATATAATTCACCTCACTCACCAAAGCCTGCGGCACAACACTTCTGATATTTTTCCGTTGGAAAAAAATGAGTTTGGAAATAACTCAGTAGATCAGTGCTAGAAAAAATAGAACTAAAAGTGGCGTTTCGGTTGCACGTAGGGAAAAGTCACGTGGCAAGTGCCCAGTTAAGTAGGCGTGCTATAGGCCGGTTAACAGATGTGAGCGCTCGTGATTGGCGTAATCGTTGAGACCGAAAAAAAAAAAAGCGTCTGACGGCACTTCCTCTTTGATGTAATCAAAATGGTAAGGGCTGAATCATTTCTCCAACTACTTAATAAATTCTGCCGGGAGCTTAAATTCACGCTTACAAAATATTTCTTGTTTATTAATACACAATTGCCAAACATCAGAACTTCAAGGCGATCCCTAGCAATTACTTTTAATCTTTCGTGAAAGTAAAAAAAAAAAAATATATATAAATATATATCCAGACTGTTGTTGTCACTCACCTTTTAAAAACAAAACAAAATAAAACCTAAATTAGTCGCGATTAAGTTGCAGCCTGCCCTGCTTTTATAACTTCACTATCAATAAAACAACGCCGTTATCACTTTTTTTTAAATTGCAGACTGCCACATTCAGTTAGAAGACGGCACTGCTTAAGCAAGAACGTACTTGTTGACTGCCTGTCTGCTGTAGACATTTTCCATTTATCATAGATGTTTTGGATTTTTTTCGCAGAAACTAAATCGGATTCCTGCATCAGCCAACGAATGGTTTAAAAACAAAAATGCGTGCAGTAGCATCTTAAACTGCCGCCAATATGCGTTGAAAAATAACAAAAAAACATCATTCAAACAGTATGTTTTTTATATACGGATAAAAACTATGAAAGAGGATTAGATATGAGCGCGCCAAAACGCAATATCGCAGAACCTTAAAAAAAAATATCAGTGGGCATACATAGGTGCAGCTACCTTTGTCCTTGCTCACTGAACGAACGCATTCAAAAGCCGAAGGCGGGCACCCGGTGTTCCGCGTTAGTGCTCGAGAAGGGACAATAAACGCCAGCTTTGTGTCCACCCACGACTCATGCCAACTGCTCGGTGATCTCCCGATCCGCGCTTTGATCTACATTTCTCCCCCCGTTCCTACCCGAATACAAATGCGTTTACTGTCTGGTATTCTATCCCACGGGGTGTTTCATCGAAAACTTTCAAAAATGTCTAACGATGGGATAAAGGAATATATACATTTCAGGAACAAAATCTCCGCCACAGCGGACGTCAGGGAGTTTAGCAATACATACGAATAAGTAACATATTGAACTAAAATTTACTAATTAAACGTTTATTTAGTGAAAATTAAGAATAAGGTTCTAATTAAAATATTTTTCGGCATAATCTGCACCCACTAAATCTACTAATTTTCGAAAGATATAAGGCAGGTGCAGCCTCATACTGCGTCAAAAGATAACACAAATTGGAGGTGCTTCTTGATATTTGTTTTCTATCGGAGCGCACCATTGCGCCAGCTGTCCGGCCCGCACTCCGGTGGCCGAGGTGCGAAGCTACCACCTAACCTCTCACCTACGATGGAAAAAAGTGTGGCTCAAGGCTCGGTCACACATTTGGTTCGACTGCGTTACTGTGCATTGCGATGTGCTGCCCAGCGCCTCCCATTGGCTCGTCGCAAGGGTCGTCATAGCAACAGCTCGACGTAAACCTCGTTAAAGAGGCGCGAGTTACTGCAGCCGCACTCGGATGGCACTTTTTAGCGAGCTTTAAGGTATCGAAACCATTGACGTGAAGATGTGCTTAGATTGGAAACCGAAACATAGAAACCCGTAGCAAGCGCCGTAGAAATGAAGCACCTGCTCTATATCTTTCTAGAAAGAGTTGAACTAAAATTATTAATGGCACTCAGCGGGTTTTTATGGGAAGAAAGTGATTATCTTCATTATTTAAAACTGAAATCGGTATTTTTTTTAGTTGTATAGATAATTAGTTTCTTTTTTTCTTTCCTACAATCTCCGAAGGTGAAAAGTATCTTTTCCCATTAGAGTGTTTAGATCTTATTTTTCTCAACCACCTCATTTTTATAAATTTTGGAATGTCTTCTTTGAAACAACCGGCATGTTCATAAAACCCAAAGGTTGCATACGTGTTTTTGTTTTAATTGTGCTTTAGAATCGTTTCACGCAGATCCTAAAATTTCATTAAACAACCGGAAATTATATACACGAAAACGGGACGAAAGCTCGTCAGTTTTCGTTCCGTTTTTACGAAAACGGGACGAAAAATTCGTCAGTTTTCGTTCCGTTTTTGTTTTTATTCTCTCCGGTTCTGTAAACATATTTACCAGCACACTCATTTTCAATATCAATTCTAAAATTGTCTAGCCTAGAAATAAGCACCTAATGGAATCCGATTTAACGAAAAGAGTTGAACCTCAAATAACTATGGATAGAAATACTTACGATATATGCTCAGTCAAATAGTAAATATCAACTAATATTAACGTGTAGCTCGAAATATCATAATGTTACATTTCTATTTTTTTTCCAGAATTATAGATGGATGAGTATCGGGAATTGTTGGGTTGTTTGTACGAAAGGCGTCCAATATTTGACTATTCCCCATAAGGAATGTGAACGAATACTTGACATCGTAAGTAATTTCAAAATTGCCTTGTATGACATGCGTGGTCGAAAACGCCACTCCCGCCAGGAGCCAATCTAGTGTATTAGATACTTTAGAAGGGTATTACCAGGGATATACAGTGTAAATTAGGCCTTATAGATTTGTTTAAAAACTGCCTAGAGAGATACACTCAAGGGGTTTGTGCAGGTGAGTTATACGACCAGGTGGACTTAATTCAGAAAACTAATAGGCATAATAAGTGAAACAATTATTTGAAATTTGTTAATTAGCTTTAGATTAGAAAAAAATACACATATGGTTTCACTTTGAAATATGCAGAGCGAAGTATCAACTCACCAAATTTCTAGAAATTTTTTGAGTGTGTGGGAAGCGCTGGAGTGCACTGAAGTTACAACTCGCAACAGGCATAAATATGGGGCGAGAAAAGGCGGATAAGCGACAGAGGAACTGTGTCGGAGAGTCATCACACTGACAGCCTTGCTCCTGCTGCACGAGCGCTAACTTTGGCGCTCCACCGTACTCGCACGGGCTACAAGGTTTTCTGATATTGACTTATTTAGTTGTTTTTGATGAAACTCAGGAAGCTTATAATAAGGACCATGGTTATTTCTAATCTTACGTTGAATATAAAATTTCGGTTAATTAGAATGGATGCTTGGGCGATTTGGATATTCATATTGTAGGAGAAGCGCAAAAGCGACGTGAGTGACCGTCTTTCTGGTGTGCGCGCATTTTCAGTGTGAGTGAGTTTACTTTTGCACTTCTCCTACAATATTCACTTAATTAGCCGGCCGATGATTACGATCAGTTCTTCATACTATATCTCCTTCAACTTATGACTAGGGTTCCGTGTTTTCGCATAAATCTGAATAACTCAGAAAAATACGCACCTGTAAAGATTCGTGAATTCGGAAATATTCGATAAACTCCAAATTTCAGTATGACAATGCGCCCCCCCCCCCCCCCCCCCCCAACCCGGACACACACACACACAAACAAAGGAAAGGGTGGTAATTTACAATCAAGTTTGGAGAGCGCACAGGGTCATTGTTCTTGAGGAAATGTCACCTCAGTTTTCTTTCAAAGTGGGACCACACACAAAAACATATCTTACCACTCATCTCGTCAAGGTTTATCAGGACAACAATTCTTCCGGCTCGCGACAAAAACTACTATTCCGGTTTCCGGTTTAAACCATTGTTCTTCTTGGAGGAAAGAGTGGGGGTGTTTTTGTAACAGTGAAAGTTGTGAAGCATTGGAATTTCATAGAAGGAAGAAGAGGAAGCGGGCAGCTAAACTTTAATATTAAACCTTTTACCGGTCTACCCAGCGCGGCTGCGGCCTAGGTTGATAGATGGGATGCGATGAATCCGAGATTTTTGGCAATCACTTCCAGGAGTTTATAGATTTCATTGTTTCGACGCTTATCAAAAAATCACACGTTTGCAACTTTGGTCGTGGGACAAATTAGTAGAGTATTACCAGTGGCAATAGCGCAAACGCCACATCCAGTTAAAAAAAATGTTAATTGATAAAACCTCCGTCTTTTGAAACCAATACAAGTTTACACCGATATAATATATTGTTTTAATAAAAATACACTGCAAAATTAAGCTCCGAATTTTCGATATTCGGGAATCGATGAAAAATAGCCTTCTTTAAGCTCCGAATTTTTTGCAAAGAAATAAAATCGAAGAAACACCCTCCAAATTTTGCGAAAACTGAAACTCGGATTAACCTAGAGTTCAGGAGTTTCGCCAGAAAATATATTAAGCTTAAAAATAAACACCCTGTACGTTTGCTCCTGTTTTCCCATGGCTGGCATAGAACTGAAACTATTTTCCCACATTCAAATTTTTGATCGAACAACATTCTTTTTTTGTGTGTGTGCGTTATGCCTTGGCTGTTTACGTCGATTGTCTGCCTTTGCATGAGCGTAGTTGCTAGACGGATGAAGTCACTGGCGCACCTGAGACCAGGTTACCGAGACTTTATTACGACAAAAAATGCGCAAACTTATCACACGGCAAAGTTAAGTGCTTTTGAGTATTCCCGAAGAAAAATATTCATGACTTTTGAGTAAGTTACGGATTTCATCGTAACTTACGCAAAACGTTCGAGCATTTTGCTTCGGGAATACTCAAAAGTTTGTAACGTTGTCATAACATAAATTTACGCACTTTTTTGTCGTAAGAAAGTTTCGGGAATCTCGCCCCTGGGCGGCGATCGTGGCTTGTTCGTCGTATGTATATTTGTGCTGACGATTATGCGGCGTTACGCCGGGGCCACACTGCTCATGCATCCTACAAAAGACAGTCTGTAAACACAATTGACCACAATATACATGGCTCGAACGCATTGTGCCAAGTTTTCTCCTTGAACACATTGACATGCGGTATTAGACACACGGTTCTCGCGGTGACTCGCGATGGAATTTGTACGCAGACCGTCTTTTGTTTGATGTATTAGCAGTGTGAACCCGGCTTTAGGCTGTAATAAATGTTCGAAGCGCGAATATTGCTGTCCATCTTCTCTTCAAAGTGTTTAGCCTCTATACGCGACCCGGTAATCGGTGACATTCGATTATGCGGAAGCCAGGGTCTTAGAAATAAAATAGCTCGTGACCGCGCCCCCTACAGCGTCCGTGCGTGTGGCACGTACATACTTCGCTCGCTTTACGAAGCTACAAACATGTGTATACAAGAATGCTATTTTATAAGCTTTAGAATTGTGAATGTGGAAAGAGGGGGCGTCATACTGGCTCAATCCAGCCAAGCGAAAAAAAAAAAACAGCGTGAGGCCCGAAGTACAATATGGGGTTGAGCAAAACCGTTGTTGTAAACAAATTAGTTTCACTTCGTGGCCAATAGCATCTTTTGATTTTGATCATCGCTAGGGGCGTGTCTTTCGAAACCGAAAGGTTTCACCGGTTTCACCTCTGGTCGCGTCACTCCGCCTCCATAAGCTTACTACCTCCATGATTGTATTGCTGTACGCACAAGCACACGGCTCTGCAATCACGCCGATGTGGTCCCAGTATAACACTGATGCTTTACTCCTGTCCGTTGTGTACGAAATATATATAGATGTGCGAACTGCGCTCGTTGCAGCTGCTACGTAGAGGCCTCTCCTTGCGTTAACTGCAAGCGGCGACACAAGGTGGCCCTTTGATATGCGGCTAATAGTAGCCTGTCGCGCGCACGGTTTCCCATACTTCTCAACGGAAAGATTGCTTGAGAGCGCAGCTTTTAGGTGCCTGTTTTCAGGCTGAGCCGCGTCGCCGTAGGCACCGTTACTAGATCAACTCAGTTATGGAACTTCCCATAGACGCTGTACATTGGAGGGGGTCCAAAACCATGCCCGATTTTTTTGCAGCTAGGTGGCGCTGCCGGCGCATAACTCCACGCGATTTCGTCTGCTACTGCTCCGCGGCTGCTTGCGAGTCCCGACTGCTCTCGAGGTTCAGCATTGTTTTTGGTTAATTTTTTCCCTTCTGCAAGTAAACATTACAATTTGAGCATGAAAAGCGCTACGACCGTTTTGGCATACGCTTTGCATTATTGTAAAATGCTGCTGCCTTAGCTGTACTGACAGCGCGAAGCGTTTCGAATAACCCAAATTCGTCGGCGCCACAATCTGGTGGCTACAGTCAGGGCAAGTTTATGCATACTGTAATAGTAGATGTGCCGATGACTACCAAGTGCAGCAGAAACAATTTGAAAGTCGTCTGATACTCTCAGAAAAAGCGCCACGAACATCCGTAAGCTCAGTAGGCCAGATGCAACGGTCACGAGCGCGCCGTCAATGATGATGATATTGAGTATTAATGCGGAGCCTGCGCCTTCAACAGGCGCCACGCAAAGGGACCCCCCACCGGAGCAGAGTTTCAGAACTGAGTTGGTTCTAATATTGTTGGCCGTAGGCGTCGTCACCGACGTAACCACGCGCGTTGCATTATGGGACGTTTCCCCGCTAAAGTTAGCGGGGAAATTACCTTGCTATATTTAGCGCGGAAATGTTGTAGCTAAATGTAGCGGTAAATGTTTCTGCTAAAATTTGTCGAAAAACTTTTCCCGCTACATTTATCGGGAAAATCGATGTCACGCCACCTTAACACTATTTCAGTTTTCCCGCATTATTCAGCGAGGAAATGACGCCACGACTTCGTGTCACGTCACCCAAGAACAAATTCAGCGGCAGGTGGAGAGGAGGAGAAAAGGAGAAGAAGGACAAAGGAGGTGGATAGGAGGAGGGGAGGAGGGTTAAAGAAGGAGGTGTGGAGGGGAATGCCCTCCTTTCCGTACCCTCCACTCCTCCTCGTCAAGCTGCGCTCTAGATTTACATTACAGATAGTTGTAAAGGTCTTTCATTTTTTTCGCTCGTTTTTCGGTTGCGCCACGACATGTAGAAGTTAGCCCTTGCGCTAAGTATGTTGCTTCGACACTGCTTTGTCATTCAACCTAGTTTTGTGCCTCAACGGCGGCAAAAAATGTTTGATGAACAGATTGAAGCGGAGAGATCCTATGCGCGATATTCTAGCCAGAGTCCGTGAAAGTCACAGCAGACACTCCGAAGGAGAAAGCGTGACAAACGCTATTTTTTGTTCCGAACAGGGTTTCTGGGCGGTGTACCAGAAGGAGAATAATGGTGAACTGCCGCCGTACGGATTTCAGGTTGGTTTAAGGCTTTAAATTCATATAGGGCTGCACCCTTCTCATTTTTCAGAATTTCTATTAATACATAACATTATTCTCGAGACAGGGTCAATCAAACCAACTGTTTTGATTTTGAGTTTTTAATAAGGATGATGTGGGTTGTCAGAGTTTTCCTTCGTCTTTATAGTAAACTGTTTGTAACGAGCTAAATATTTTATCTAACATAGTTACGCACTCGGGGGTGTCCTAAATTGCATATAAGTAACGTTTCTCTTTTACTCTAAAGTACTTGCCACTAAGTCAACCTTTAGTGTTTGTTCTAGAAATTTTCTAATATTTAACCTTTCAGCAAAATATCTTACAAGCATATTCTGTAGGAGTAGAAACTCCCATAAACATGCGCTTTTTAAGATTCTTTAAATAATTAAAAGCGCCGAAAAATACAATGACAAAGTAGTGGAACGACACAAGGCGCACTCGCAACTGTGGTTTACTTCGAAAACTACATGCATTTATAGGCCCCAGAACCCTGTCAGTCATCAGCGTGTCCCTCGCAACGCTACTTTCAAATATTCAAATTCACTCTTTGACAGGGCGAGTGACGCTTCACTTACACACTCAACGCCCTTATCCCTAATTGCATACGCCTCGTGCACCTCTCTGCTTATTCGGTCGCGATAACGAGCCAAACTTTTAATGTCATGTAGCACTGGCGTACACCGGCATCTATTACAATGAATGGCGAGATGGCCAGACGGGCTGGCTCGCGTGGCAGCCGCATGCTCGCGGGCGCGGTCATTCACACATCTGCCCGTCTGGCCAATGTACACAGCGCCGCATGACAGAGGGATTTCATATACAACTCCTGAGGCACGCTCGGCAAATTTTGTTTTGTGCTTTTTGCTGCAAAGGTCGGTCTGTTGATCGGGACAATTGATTTTACGAGAAAGTCGGACCATCCGATTGGGCGCTGAAAAAACCACAGGTACATTGAAACGCTGGGCCACTTTCTTTAAATTGTGTGACACTGAGTGCACGTATGGAATAACCGCTGGCCTCATACTGGGTCTCTCGAGGGCGGGTTTGCCCGTTCCTTTTATCTTTTTTACCAGGCCATCAGCAACCCCAGTTAAGCACCTTTGCGGAAAGCCGGTCTCTTGCAGTTTTGTGATCTGTCGCGCGACTTTCCTGAACGGAATGCTCGCAAGACTTTTTGAGAGCGGCCTCCAAGCACGTTTTGGCGATGCCCTTCTTTACTAACTTAGAGTGAGCCGACTCAAATGGCACGATCGCTTTCTTGGATCTTGGTTCATAAGTCAAATATATATGGTGTTTAATATCTAAAAATCGTAACTTCCCTTCAATGGGTGTCTCAAAGGTAAAAGTCAAACCGCCCGCGCAAACACCGAAGATACGCATAATCGCAGATACAGCTTCTGCCAATGATGCCTCGGGCACCTCACTAAAAATAAGAAAATCATCCACCTATCTAAAAATCCTGTTTTAGCCATCGCAACTTAGCTTCTCTAGGATGGCGTTGTCGCAACTGCTTAAAAAAATGTCACACAGAACCGGTGCCACACGCTACCCCAATGCAAATGCCCTTCTTCTGAACGTACAAGTCCCCTTCAAACGAAACATACGTATGCGTAAGATAAAAAGATAAAAGTTCAAGAAAACTATCAACGATAACGCCATTGGAGGAACAAAACGTCACCTCTCCGTTTTTTTTAAAATACATTTCCTAACCGCACAAAAGAGTGGCTTATGCGGTACAGAATAAAAAAAGATCTTCAGAATCCACCGAAAAGGCACTTGCCCGGTCAATCGATGAAAGGATGAAATAACATGCACATCATCAACTACTTCAAGGACAACGACCTGACGCTGCTAACTTCCGATAAGGAAGGTGGCTTTGTGGTTGTGACGCGGGACATGTTTGCTGAAAGGTCACAACAAGCAATCCTCAAGAACTTCAAAAAAGTGAGCCCGGGTTCCTTGTCTAAGGTTAAGGCCCGCGCAAAGGAGCTTTGTGGTGATTTCAACTTGGCCGGGTGGCAAAAGAGCGTGCAATCTGCCACCGGTCTATATCTGAACATTTTCTTTTCTGCTAAAACGCACAAAATTGGGAACACTTTTAGAACGAGTGTAACGGAAAGGGTCTCCTGGCAGGTACACTTGTCTACGTTCCTCAGCAAGCACTTGTCAACATTGAAGCTGACCGATCCTTTTTTGGGGCGAAACTCGGAGAGCGTTATTGAATTTCTGGAGGAAGGAGCGCGGGGATTTTAAAGTGCCTTTTCGGTGGATGCTGAAGATCTTTTTTATACTGTACCGCATGAGCCACTCTTTTGTGCGGTTGGAAAATGTATCGAAAAAAAACCTAGAGGTGACGTTTTGTTCCTCCAGTGGCGTTAGCGTTGATAGTTTTCTTGAACTTTTATCTGTTTATCTTACGCATACGTATGTTTCGTTTGAAGGGGACTTGTACGTTCAGAAGAAGGGCATTTGCATTGGGTCGCGTGTGGCGCAGGTTCTGTGTGACATTCTTTTAAGCAGTTGCGACAACGCCATACTAGAGAAGCTAAGTTGCGATGGCAAAAACTGGATTTTTAGATACGTAGATGATTTTCTTATTTTTAGTAAGGCGCCCGAGGAATCGTTGGCAGAAGCTGTATCTGCGATTATGCGTATCTTCGGTGCTCGCGCAGGCGGTTTGACTTTTACCTTTGAGACGCCCACTGAGGGGAAGTCACAATTTTTAGATATTAAACAAAGTTTTTTACAAAACCATATATGTTGGACTTATGAACCAAGATCCAAGAAAGCGATCCTGCCATTTGAGTCGGCACACTCTAAGTTAGTAAAGAGGGGCATCGCCAAAACGTGCTTGGAGGCCGCTCTCAAGAAGTCTTGCGAGCATTCCGTTCAGGAAAGTCGCGCGACAGATCACAAAACTGCAAGAGGCCGGCTTTCCGCAAAGGTGCTTAACTGAGGTTGCTGAAGACCTTGTAAAAAAGATAAAAGGAACGGGCAAATCGGCCCTCGAGAGACCCAGTATGAGGCCAGCGGTTATTCCATACCTGCACTCAGTGCCACACAATTTAAAGAAAGTGGCCCAGAGTTTCAATGTACCTGTGGTTTTCTCAGCGCCCAATCGGACGGTCCGACTTTGCCGTAAAATCAATTGTCCCGATCAACAGACTGATCTTTGCAGCAAAAAGCACAAAACAAAATTTGCCGTGTGTGCCTCAGGAGTTGTATGCGAAATCCTTCTGTCATGCGGCGCTGTGTACATTGGCCAGACGGGCAGATGTGTGAATGACCGCGCGCGCGAGCATGCGGCTGCCACACGAGCGAGCCCGTCGGGCCATCTCGCCATTCATTGTAATAGATGGCCGTGTACGTTTTGTTAAAAAGAAGCTTCCGCAGGCGAGACAGTGAACGATCGCAGTGTGGGATATTATGATACGCGTTTCATTTTTCCAAACACAACCAAATATCGCGCGCTGAGAGTCATGTTTCACAACACCCTTTTATGTTCCATGCATTTTTTTATGTTCCATGCATATCTCAGATAGAAACCAAAAGAGGGTTTCTATCTGAGACAACGTCACCGCGATAATGCTCGTTTCCGGTCTGGGTGCGGCTCGACATCTTTGAATCACTGAATGGACAGTTGCCCTGTGTGCGTAGTGGTGGAATTATCTCTGAATATTTTGAAATAATAGACATTTCTCGAGTAACGAGAGCGGTTCGGCGGTTTGTCCGACAACCAGAAATGAAGGGCATCCCAGCAGGACTGCGTTTTTCAAAACACATTGACATCGTGCCGTTGTATCGGTGTTTATTGGTGTTTATGCCACGAGCTATTGATACCAAGAAAAAGAATCGTTAAAAAGACGAAATACACGAAAAGATAGGTAATGGTAAACTTGGTCGTGCGAGATGGTGCCCTCCAAAAATTGCGATAGCTGGAAGCAAGGCCAGGAGAAAGTTCGTGCACATGCGTTCAGCTTACTGGAAAGCGGCCCATTACCCCTCTGGCTGACTACAATTTGGAAGAACCAAACAACAGGCTTAAAAAACAACCGGATCACCAGAGATGTCTCGATGTACTGGAAAGGCTTCTGCTGTGATTGTGCCAGCAGGTGGAAATCGGCAAAGCCATGCCACGCTGTGAAGGAGCTCGTGAGACCACGATGCAATGAAAGTTGGTTGACGGTTCGCTCCTGTAAATTTTGAGCCTTCCAAGAGAAGTAGCGTCATGGGCAGAGCAAAGTTGCTTCGACACTTGGTGGGTCGACCAAGTGTCGACCCACCAAGTGTCGACCCACCAAGTATTGGCTCACAAATTTTTCCCACACTTTTTTTTAATTAAAAAACGGCGTTCTATAACATGCAGTTATCTGCACTGTCGTGCGTTTCCTACTGCACTAAATATATTCCAAAGAGTACATTTTCATTAAAAAAACAGCCCTCCTTTTTTGCTGTACCCTCGCTCTGGTCTTGTTCACAGCCGAGATGTAGTCTGACGAATCCGCAACATGAAGAATAGCTTAATCGCAACAAGGACATATTAAATGCAATCACACTTCTGGGCAATCGCTACACACTTTTGTGCCCCTGATTTGGTTTGCAAAGAAGCTGCCATCGTGTACTGTACAGTCCACGTGATTTCCCATAACCTCTGCTCCAGGGGAGAAGAGTTTCTCCAGATGCTGCAATCAAGCGGCCGAGGTTCAAGCGTTTCTCGGACGAGGAATGTCTCGAAAGTTTCCGTATGCGTACCGAGGCGCAGCGACAGTCACGTGAACCCGAGGCTGTTGGACAGCATGTGATGTGTTTACGCAAAGCTCGAGAGACTAGAAGCAACAATAATGCAATGAATCGGACCAAATGCAACATCGACCGCGATGCAATCTTGAGCCAGGCATGCGAAGGCATCTCGCAAAACGGGCTAATAGAGGCAACTGAACAGCAACTGAAATTTCGAGAACGGTAGAGTTATTTCTGAT